TTTTTTTTTTTTTTTTTTTTTTTTTTTTTTTTTCTGGTTCTGGACTTAAATTTAGCTAAAAAATCAATCAACAACATTGAGGGTATATTGATAAAACAGTGAATTTGGGAGTGTGCAATCTTTTTTCGGCTTTTTTAAACTACTTCATTTGCATGAGTCGACTTTTGTTTTTGCGAATACAAAATGCATGTTTTGTTGCTGGTAGGCAGTGCGGGTCTTCAACTTTCTTTTTCACTTAATTGTTGTGTGGTATTTGTGCGTTTTTGTTTTGTCTTGTAAATACGCCAGTGGTCCAGTACTGAAATTTGTTTGGTTGGCTATTGATATTAATAATACTGGGTACCAAATAAGAAAGAGAACTTTTCTAATAGCATCAGGACTACATGAACTGAAACGCAGTGCGAAAAAAGCAGATTTTTGAAGTTTCAATTAGAGTCGGTAATGAATTAGCAGTTGTCTATTTATCTACGGTAAAGTGCGCCTCTTGGGAAAATGCATGCAAACACTAGTGCGTATAAGGCGGCCAAAATTAAATTGGCCAGCCTTACCTGGTAGACGTTCCAGAGATAAGCGGGTGTTTGTCCCTCATTTTTCCACAAATGCTTCTGAACCTCCAGTTGCTTTCCAAATTAATATAAAAAGTATTTAAAGACGTAAGGAAATTGGCTGAAAAGAAATTAGGTATACAGCTTGTCTACCGCCGTATTTTATCCACTAGGACTGTTTGCAGTCAAAGGGTAGGCGAGCAGCCGTTAACCAAATGAGGGCAGCAAAGTTTTTTTCAAGCGCCTTACGGGCAGTAATAATTCCGCTAAGGATTTATCAACAGAGTTTTCTTAGGTACTTGGCTATGTTAACGGTAGCAAATCGGAATAGTTTGCAGTGGCTTCTGACAGGATCACTTTTACGAGGCGTTGGCTTTGGGACGGAAGGAGGGCTGTCACAGCTTCAAGTGCTTGCTCCCGGGGACTTTTTACCGTTCATCTATGTAACTTTATCTTTGCAGAGTTCTTAGCTTTGATTTTCACTTATGATAGTCTACATACTTTTTGCTGACTCCTGACGGTGGTGTGTTAAATTTTCAGCTTAAGTTGTGTGCCGTTTAGAAACATGGTTGCATCAGTTTTTTTTTGTAATGAATGCTGACTGTGTTTTTTTACCGTTTGGCTTTAGATTCAGTCTTCCTGAACGCTACTTTTTGCTCTCGTCAAAGTATCTTTGGCGCGTAGTGAAACTTATAGTTCTACTGCTTTTATGGTGCACATCTTTAATAAAAACAGTGAGCGAAAACCGCTGTTTAAAAGTAATATCAAATTTTGCTTTTGAGAGGTTCCAACAACTGCTCGTTATTTCAGCCCAATGAATTTCAAAAGAAGTAAAAAACTGGAAATTCGATATATTAAGATTCTTTTTTGACACATATATACACGTACTCGTTTCAGGAAACGTTCTTTAGCAACTTCGGTCACTTGATGCGGTGGTTTGATAAGTCTTGTACACACAGCTAAAATTCTGCGGTTAAATAAGCCTTTGTGGTCAGGCTGAAGGTAGTCAAGAAGTTCGGAAACCGTTAGTGAAGAGGTTTTACAGATTTTTCAGTTCCCAAGAATTGCGGCTACAAAGCGCAGTCACCAGTCATCACATCAAAATTCACTGGTAGAGCAGTGTTTTGGAACGTTGTGAGAGTTAAGAGCGCTAGACAGTTAGAAAATGGGTGGGAGAATCCAAACAGAAAAAAGGAGGATGAGTTAAAGGTAAAAAGCAGCATAGGAGCGGCATGCTTAACTGCAGAAGCGTCACAGAGAGATCATTGTATTAAAATGCGTTATGCAGGTTGTAACATGATGAGCTTTTGCCAGCTCCTTGAGGTGTTTCCTCATAATTTCATCCAAATTAAATTGCTCAGAATGGACAGTTGCTAATTTATCATAGTTTTCCGCTTCTATACCTGTTCAAAAAATTTTTAAAAGTTTAACTCGCGAGAACCTTGTGATTTGGCAGAAGCGTTCTTGTAGTTTTTTCCAGTACTCACAGAGTACCACAAATGTTTTGCGAAAGAAATATTTGTTAGAGGAAGTCTTTCTTTTCCCGGTGTGATCTTTTAGTCATCCTCTGGCAAATGATTACATTTCGGGCTGCTCAAGAATGGTAATTTCGTAAATGCCTTTTTTGAATCCTAGAACTTAAAGCAACTAGATCTAGACAAAAGTAAAATTTCAAACAAGCTTCTTATCAAAGGAAGGGTTTGTGGATGGTTATTTTAACTAGCTATCTTGCATAATTAAAAGTTAAGAGGCTCCAAAGTTTCAGTAATTTAAGGGAAATCCATTTGTGATAAAATATTGCATCTTGAAAATAATTTTCTTCCAGATTTCTCATGCAGCAAAAGTGGAAGATACTGGAGTAGACGTGAATGGAAGCTTAATGCTGAGGCTCATTTAAGTAAGCTGGGGGGAAAGAGGAGCGGATGCATACTGGGTTTTTTGATGCGAGACATCAACCTATTTCTGTTATACCGCAGTATTGCTGTCCCTTTTTTCTATTAAATGTGGATATGGGAATAAAGATATATTTGCAGGTTTTTCCTTTGGGCAGGTGGTAGAAGAAGCATCATTTTCCAAATGACGATATCATACAACTTAGATGTTGCGTCGGCATCGCCGTTAAATTTTTTCCGTTTAATATTTCGGTGGAAAGCTAGCATCTGGAAGATTTGTTTGAAAGAACTTTGCATTTGGACAACTTTATTTTTGATTATAACATTCTTGTACCGATCTCCCTACTTTCTTTCTGCGAAACAAAAGATGTAAGTTTTTGTATTCAGTTACTGACTCTATTATTTGTTAGTTTTATCGATCAGGTTTTACATCAATTATGCATAAAGATGTTTCCACCGAAGAAGGCTTGAAAGAAGAAGTTTTTGCGGAAATGGTTGATTTTTTTTAATACTGTACTGCAACAAGAACTGAGCAAATCTTCGTCACTACACTTTCACTGTTCTTGCTTTTAGTTTGCCTCAAAACTAAAGAAACTTAGAAAAAAAAGAACAATTTTCAAAGTAGAATCATTCAATTATTTCAAAATCACTTGGAGTTTAAATTGTTATCAAAAAATAGTAAGTTAGTAGGATGTAAGGAGAAATTAATAAATGATGTCAGACTGCACAGTTATCTTTTCTTGTCACATTAAATTGCAGTTTTTGACTGATTGAAGATTCTACCGCGTATGTCTCTTGCAATAATTTTAGTTTTTAGAGAGATTTCGCCATAAAAGCTCGTTTTAAGTGATCATATCTTTTTTAGGATGCATTGTCCTTATCTTTACAAAGTAAAAAAGTAGTATTGGGAGTTTAAAACATTTGCCTTCTTACCGTCGAGCAGATTGACAACTTCCTTTTTTAGAAAACAAAAACACATATTGACTGACGCACAGGAGTTCTGCTTAGTGGTGTAAGAATTAATTTCACGAACTTGGAAAATGAGAATTCCAGCAAGCTTAACTTTATTTGGTCAAAAACAACTAGCTTAGAAAATGAAACTCTTATTAAAGTCATAAGATGCAGTTTAGGACCAAAGGACTTCCCTGACATGTAGCTAAGATTGGTCATCGTCTAAAACTAAGTTGTGCATGGTTTGAAATAAGTTAATAGGTCATAAAGGGCCGTTACACTAGTTATATTTGAGTGGTGGGATGTTGTTAAAAATTACTTTTAGAACCCTCCTGTTGTATGATTACTTTATGTTAAATGAAGGCTGTGAATCATAATTTTCAGAATTTTTGAAGAACTAGCTCATTATTTAAACTCTCATTTGGAATACATCCCACTAACCTTTATGCTTGGTTTTTTTGTTCAAATCGTTGTACAACGGTGGTCTGTGCTCTTTCAAAATATGGGGTATGTAGAAAGGTAAGTAACATTAAGGCTCACATCTTAGTTTAATCTGTAGATTTTTTACTTTCTAAGCAATATTTTCTTTGATTCCTAATAATCCTTAAAGAAAATTGTGACAATTCGTGCATCTTGACAGAAAACGAGGGGTTTAGAAACAAATAAGAGTTTTTTAGTCCAGCTATATATATTGGAGGTTACGTCTACGGCGAGTCCAATGAATGTCGAGTTCTCAGGCGCACTATGGCACGGTACCTCTGTTTAACTCAACTACTTGTTTACAGGGACATAAGTGTTCGTGTTCGAAAACGCTTTCCGAATTATGATAGCATAGTTGAAGCCGGTCAGTCGTTAAAGAAATCGATGACTTTTAACACGTTTTTTTTTAAAGGCAAAGAAAGTTGGCATTTTATACGATAACGTTAGATTTAGTTTTAATAATAATTATAGGGTTTATGTTGCCACATGAGAAAGATAAATTAGAAGCGATAAAACTGCATTACGACAAATACTGGGTCCCTATTAACTGGATTTACGCACTAATTTTTAAAGCTCGGAAAGAAGGCCATGTTCCAAGCGACTCTTTTGCTAACAAACTTTGTGATGTACGTTTACATAGTGGGTTTTTTAAATCTAATTTTTTGTAATTTTTCGGGTCCTACTTACATAATGTTATCTTTTGCCTTTTTATTTCATTAACTCAAAAAAAGTGTAGGATAAATTAATTTTTACCTTAATTACTAATTAAACAAATGCAAAGAAGTTAAATTGAAGTTCTAGATCTACAAAGTTTGTAAGGCTCTTTTCTGTGCTCAAAAACTTTTAAGTTTTTAGGGCGCTATTAAATATTTTGATGTTTTTGTCTTTGATCGCTTCTAGATAAGGGTCATGGTTGAAATGTAGCCGAAAAACAACTGAATTGTTTAAATATAAAAATTATTGATCAAATTAAGCCTTGATTAATCTAGGCATTCAGTACTGGGATTGACTTAAAACTGCCATTATTATTTCACTGTTTATTCAACTTTCATCTTCATTTTTTAGGAAATTAAGTTGTACCGTTACAACATACAGATGTTATGCAACTACGACTGGGTGCCAATTCCTCTTGCGTACCCACAGGTGTGTCTAACAAAGAATCTAAGAAGATCCTCCTTATTTAAGAGAAATGCGTATTATTAATTTTATTATAAAATCACCTTATAAATTCTTCCCTAATAGTGACGGGCAAAGATTAATCCACAAGTAGAACTCGAACTCTCCTCATATATATTTCCGAAATGATGTCGTATCACTGAGCTACCAGGAAGCTTTGCTTCGCACTACTCCAGTTTTGTTTTCGCCGCTTTTCTCGCGAGCAAAAATCGCTAAGCCGAAAGAGCGGATAGTAGTTTTTGCTAATTTTTATGTCAGCGCTTGTAAACTCAAACAAGTTTTTGTTTTCGTTGTTTGTAAATTTTTTCTACTACAGGTTGTAATAAGTTATCCGCTTAATGCTTTTGATCGTAGGTAAGAGTTGTTGAAAGTTGTATATTGGAAGGCATCGATGATAAAGCGAAAGTGCTGTGTACAATTTTTAAAACAGTGACCTAAGGCGTAGAGTCTATGTACGGCAAAGAATATTCGGTTTTTCGAACTGCTTTCTTGAAACTTTACTATTGTTTGAAAAGAACTTAACAGTTACTAGGACTTTTACGCCTTTTCTGTGCTCAAAGTCACCCTATTATTTGCCGTCTGGGCGTGCTAATCCTTTTACTAACTGTTAATATTATTGAGTAATTTGCCCAATTAACAGTGAATTTTTGACCAAAGTGGGAAAATCATATTTGTAGTTTCCATATATCTGAAAACTACGCACTTTGACACCACTGGAATGTCGGTGAAATCTGTGGAGCCTTAAAAATTTCAGTCATGAAGTAAAAAATTCTCCGAGAGTCCCAGTGTTTCACAAAAATGTACTGCCTGTTTTAATCAAATTGCCCTTTAATTTTTTGATAGTCTTGCTCGACCACAGTTCACTGCCATCTGATAAAGACAAGTAAACTTGTGCTACAATTTTGTCTAATTGAGAATGAGGCTAAAAACTTCATCTTCATCATTATTCCAGTAAAATGTGAGAAGTTTCAGTTGGTTTTCTTGGCTGTTTATGTCTATTTTGGCCTGTGCCTTATTTCCAGGCAGTTCATTATAACGGACCGAGATGCTATAAATAAGAGTGAAGTAAGAAAATTGTTTTCTCTCGGCTTGAACTTACTATAATGCTTTCGTAATTAACTACTGGTTATTGAAACGTACTTCCATTATCTTCTTATAGGTCGACCTGACACTTCCATTTATGACAATGATGGAATTTCTGATTTTTATTGGTTGGATGAAAGTTGCAGAAGGATTACTGAACCCATTTGGTGAAGACGACGATGACTTTGAATGTAATTATCTTTTGGATAAGAATCTTGCGGTATGTCTTTAGTAAATGCTTTTTTAAAGGCTTCGTCGGGATCGATGATGGCTTACTGTGGTCTGTTTCATTTGGAAAAGATGATTCTTTATTTCTAGTGAAAGGCAGAGACTAGTGTCAATGGTTCCTGGAGGAGAGTTGAAAAGTATAAGTACCTGTGTCATAAGATATCCAGTTAAAAAATAAAACGGAAGGAAAATCAGTGGAAAAAGTGATTGCTGTTTTTTTATTTTTTAGAGGGGTGCTCGTGCATAGTTAAATTTAGTGAATTAAGAAATGGAATTGGGCGGGGTTCTTTTCAATGCCTGGACTTAGCCAGAAATACTACAGCTAAGAGAACACGTTGGTTTTCCCAAACCTTGGCTAGAGATTTCACAGTCCGTTTTAGGTAAGGGTAAGAACCAGTGGATTTCGAGAGTGTGCGAGTGAAAGTTGAAGGCTTGTAAGTAGCAGCGGGTTATAACGGTCGGGTTGATTCATGATTAAAATAGGAAGACGGGAAGCTGAAGAAGAAGAAAGATCTGTATCAAAATATGTTTGTTGGTAGTGGTGTTACGTAACACCAAAACATAATGGTGAGATACCCATTTTTAAGAGGCGCTAGCTGGCTATGTCTTCAAAACAATTTAATCACGCAGGAAGTGAAGGGCTTAGGTACTGTCTTGAGGGGTTGTGGAAATTGATACGGAGTGTAGTGGTAAGCGGCTTGAGACCTGATGTAGCTGTTGGTGGTTTAGGTCAGTTTAGGTTATTTATGGTTTGTTG